CCCCCCATCGAACACGGTCAAACTGACTTCGAAGTGTGTCTACTAAAGATCGATGACGTCATATCTACCGCGATTTCATTATTTGCATTTCCCTACCCCTGGGGCACCTGGAAACTGCGTATGTACGTGTGCCAGGCGCTCCTGCATTAAGGAGGAGACGCTTTTAATTTAAAAAAGGCCATGATGACGTCATTCCCCTACTTTCCTGTCAAATCTAGTTTCAAGTTCGGCCTATCACGAGATTTCAACTTTCAGACAAATAAGTTGCAATAATCCGAAGATACATCCTCCTGCTTTTATATCTCATCGAGACCGACACCAAACTGTACAGGCTTCTCTCAGCAGATAGCCATTTATACCGTCCTAGCTGCTAGAGGGACGCCACAGGCCTACAATCTAACCAAATATCCAACACTAAGCTTCGTTTTTCTGCAAAACAAAATGAATCTCCGCAGCGGAAACACTTGGGTAAGATCTCTTGGTTTGTTCTCTACCGGGTATGACCAAAAATTCTAATACCAACTGCTTCCTGTCAACGTATAGAACTTAAAACCATAGCGTTCTCACTTTAAAAGTTTGGCTAGAGGAGGGCATTGTGACGTCATCAGCTAAACTACATTCTGGGTGGTTTATACCGTTTATTTCAGTCAGAACTAGAGGGAAAACCTACTCCATCGCAAGAACAGTCCTCTGGCACTCCTTTACATGGCAATACCTGTTTATTGGGCATGTTTTAATGGGCTAAAGCCCGTTCCAAAGGAATGGACCATTGTGACGTAATTCCCATTATGTGCGTTGAATGGAACACCCCCGTGGAAGCGCAAAATGAGCCTTCCGACAGGGTAAGTTTCAACCACCTGTTACTCGGGAAGGAAAAGTCGCAGACAACTCAAACTTGGCACGATTTGTAGACTATGACATAGTTAATTAAAAAACAATGTTAATTAAAATGTGGCCTAATTAACGGTGCACACCCCAGTTCTTGCGCGACCGGGGTCCGTGATAGTCCGTTGTAAAAAAGTGACGAAGGGGTTTTGAGGGCCCAAGTTTGATGTGACATTTCTCATAAACTGCCACGAAGTATCATTAAACATTAACATGGCTGAAGAGTGTAAGAAATGGTGATTTTGGGGTGAAAATTTCTTTTGGCTCCGAACCTTACTTCCGGGTATCCTTGCGCGCCAAGTGTAATCCGCCCGTTTGACCTAGATTTCGCTCTGCGCCTTCGTATGGGTGGATTTGCAACCCCTCGCGCCGTGGACTGTTTAGAAAATTGCAGTACTAGAATTTTCTTTATAATTTACTCGGGTATAGTCAAGGCTTGGGTCTTTCTGCCAGCATCAGTCATTTCTGCCGGAAAATTTTTTTCTATGGGATTATCCTACGCGAAAATTCGCAATTTTGGGCATTAATTTTGGAGTGAAAATAATGTTTTTTCCGTTGATTTTACCAAACTTAAAAAGATTGAAGAAACCAAACTCAGCTGGTCTTGTAGCTGAAGAGATATCCTTTCGTTCCATATACAGTTATTCTCCTTCCGAATTATTCCACGCCAGACACGGTCGCTAGATTTGAGGGTGTGCAGCTTCGAATAGAGACGCCAAATAAACTGGGGTGTGCCCCCTAAGAGGGTCTGCATGCCCTTTTTCGTTAACCGTTATGGGCTATTTTAATTTACCGTTAATCGTTGCCGGCCAGCCCTAATTCAAAGTTAAGCGTTATCAGTATATTAATCGTGAAGCATTATGGGTCGTTTTAATTCAACGTAAAACGTTATTTGTCATCCTAAATTCAGCATTAACCGTTAATGAATGATTCTTCGTTACGCCTAATTTTGCCTTTCTAAGTGCAGGAAAATGCGTCATTGAAGGTTTAAAAAGACAAAATTTTGCGCTCGGTCCCTTCGGCTCTAGCCAGAACCAGTTTTCCCTTCAATTTCCGGCAGTTTGCGGAGAGTTACAGAATTTTTTTTAACGAATCCGATAATTCCCTGCTGGAATAGAAACAGATAAAACCCTGCTGGTCCTGGGCGGCACTCTTTGCCAGAACTCCCAGGGCCGGTGTGGGAACCACTGTAAGAAGCAGGAGGAGCGAGTAGAAACAGATAAAAACCCTGCTGGTCCCGGGCCGGGGTTCGAACCTAACGTTAACCCGAGCACCAGTTCATACTCCGACGCTCGAACCCCTCAGCGAAAAGGTCTAGACCCCTCGGCCAGGTCAGTTGGTAGTGCCAAGGACATTATACAGATGTCCTTGGTAGAGCCTATAAACCCCCCACTGTTACAGACTGACCAGCAGACCATCACTTGTACCCAACTCTGCATGTAGAATAGTGCTTGCTTTCTAGGAAAGCAAAAATCAAGGAAAGGCTGCTCTCTAAGGTGAGCATACACGTACGTGTACCTTTCCGGGATGAATGTCCAGATTGGATAGAACAGGTGATCCATGCTGAAACTAGAGTTCCACGATCTCACACCTTCCCCAAATGATATTAATCTTTATGACTGGCAAATTATAGATTATTCCCCCTGATTATGCAAATAGATCTTCATTTACATGAATTATATCAGTTGATCATATTCTCTACCAGATAGAAGACAATCTTATTTTAACGAAGAATGCCATTCTACTCAAAATTTCTAGCATTTCCTCATAAATTATGCAAATGAGGTCATTATTTGAATAATATTATTTCAAATACCCCAAGTATGAAATTCCACGCAGTTACCATTATGGAATTACAAGAGTTTCTCTTAATAAGGTATTCATTTACGTAATCAATATCTGTCTGTGTTTCTCTTGTTCTCAATTACATATGACACTAGCTTGCAATTGCATTACATGATAGGACTATACTGCATAGTCCTATCATGTAATGCAGCTGATTTATAGAATTTTCTCATGAATTATGCAGATTACATCCATATGTGCATAATTGTCACATAATTATTTCAAGCATCACTTCAGCTACCTACATCCAAAAAATCATTATCCGTCAACTGGTTCTTGAGTTATCCCCTTTCAAATATTTCAAATAACAACTGCCCCTGCAGTTTCAGAGCAAGCCACTAGGGGGCCCAATCTCACGTCATGTCTTCCCCAGCACAAGAGCTGCACTTGGCATTTAAATTTCGTGAGCCTAGCAATTGTCTAGATCGTGAGATATCAAAACCGGAAGTGCTGCTGCAGTACCATAACAAACTGCCGGGGGCCCCAAAATCTAATTATTTAGAGGTCTCATCAAGACCTATCGGATCCACCTACCAAATATCAAGACAATCCACTTAAGCCTTCTCAAGTTATCGTGTTTACAGACACACACACACAAACAAAAAGACACAAACACCTCTGAAAACATAACCTTCTTGCATGCATGCCCGTAGCCAGGGGGGGTTCGGAAGAACCCCCCCACAAGGCTCAAAGGTCCACTTTTTGGTCCACTTTTTATGTAAAGGTCAACTTTTTGGTCTAATTTGTATGTAAAGGTCCAAGAATTTTCTTGAAAAGATGGACTGGAATTGTAGAAAAACTTAAATAAAAATTTATCTCTGATTTTTTCTTCATGGCTACGGGCATGTGTACATATATTTATAATATACATTGTATGATAACAATGATTTATTGAACATTTATGTGCAAAGTTTGCAGCTTAATAAAGACAATGTTTGTGATCAATGAAAGCTGCAACAAATTTGCAAACAATAATTTACATTTCCTGTCCTTTCCCCACTAGTTGACATGGGACTAGATGACTGATACATAGATGGAGGGCCAGGAGGGTCCTGTTCTTGATGAAACTGTCTTGGATCCAGTCTTGCTGCCGAGGCAAAAGGAAGCTTCAAGCTGCTGCCAAATAGACTTCATTTCACAGCCGATCACATACCAGGAGTTTTTCCTGCTGTACCTCCAACCCAACCGTCCATGTTTGTTTGGAGGCCACATCACCAGCCAGTGGCGCTGCAGAAGAGAATGGGTGAGCAAGGACGGAAAACCCAACTGGAATGCTCTAAAACAGTTGTTTGGTAAGAATGGGGCTGTACCTCAACGGTTATGGCAGCATACTGTTTGTATTACAAGCACGTCGGCAGAACGTACTGCACCTGCGCGAAACCCGTAATGTATTGTACATAGCATTTTGGCATGTCTCATATAATGTCTCATTTAAGGTTGTATTCGCTCATATAAGGTTAGCATTTTGACAGTATAAGTCTCCAAATGTTGTTTCGAAAAGAATATCCTCTGCAACAGGAAAAATTCTGATGCAACGTTGACCAAAAACCCAACGAAAAACACGAAAATGCGGGGTTGAACTGCGCAGGCGCAGTACGTTCTGCCGACGTGCTTGTATTACACAATATGTTATTATTGAGCAAACTGCCCAAGCAAGCAACTTCCTCCTTCTGGCTACGTTTACTGGCCAGCGTTCAGCCAATGTTAGGTTGTTCCTGCCTGTTGTTAGAGAGAAGTACAATGGGACAAATCTATAGTTGATGATTGGGTTGGGTTTACGGAAAAGGAGTCCAGTCCGATTGGCGGAAAAAGCAGTTCAGTCCGATTTTGGGGTGGAAAAAGCAGTCCGGTGGTTTCTACGAAATTTTACGAAAGACCATAGGCACAATTTTTTCTTGTGTGTGTACTTCTAGTTTCTATGGGTACTTTGAGTTTCTATGAGTACTTCGAGTTTCTATGGGTACTTCGAGTTTCTATGACTATTTAGAGTTTGTATGGGAACTTGAATTAGCATATATGTGACTCACTATATGCCGCCTTAACCCGTAATTCAGGCAGCCTTGGGTGAGGAGTAGCGGACAACCGATTTACACCTCTTGGGACCACCGAAAAGTAGTTTCTATACATACAGGTCACCTATCCACAATAAACAAAAGTTAATTATTAAGGGATTCTTTCTTACAATTGTACTTCCGGTACTTACATGCTTGTCGGTGTAATGCAAAGTCTGCCATATGTGGCTTTAGCAGGGGCCGACTGGATGTTGGGCAGCTGGCAACCGTAAAGCGATTTAATCAGGCTACTTGCAAGCAGGATCGGCCCTGGAAATCTCGTCAGTTGACCGCTTCATCTTTTGACTAATTATTATTACTTATATGTAAGTAATAATCCGGAGGCATGATGATGATATGTAAGTTACAAACTCTAAGTTCCCATACAAACTCTAAGTACTCATAGAAACTCTAAGTACCCATAGAAACTCGAAGTACTTATAGAAACTCGAAGTACTCATAGAAACTCAAAGTGCCCATAGAAACTAGAAGTACACACACAAGAAAAAATTGTGCCTATGGTCTTTCGTAAAATTTCGTAGAAACCACCGGACTGCTTTTTCCACCCTAAAATCGGACTGGACTGCTTTTTCCGCCAATCGGACTGGACTCCTTTTTCCGTAAACCCGATTGGGTTGCAGCCATCCTCTGTAAAGCTAGTCCTGAATGAACCATACGAAGCTACATAGACCACCCAGGTCCCTTGTTTGATAACATCTCTTATAAATTGGTGGGTCACGCAGAAAGGGCAGTTATATTAGACAGCATGCAAGTGTTAATTGTTATGTTATGCTGTCTGTGGGAAAGTAGCATGCAGGAACTGAGTTTTGGGAGTTTTCAGGTAATGCAACGTGATATATTGTTCATCATTCAAAAAAGTTCTAGATATGGTTTATGATACATAGACTGATATGGACCAATGCATGGTATTGATTAAATGGACATTTTACTGGGACGATCAAATGTACCCACATCATAAGACTCTTTACTTATGTCTATGTGTTAGAATCAGGGAATACATGTCAAGGTTTTTAACTATTAACCTTCTTGGACAGACAGATATATTTGAATAGCAGACAGTGAGAAAAGTCGCAATAGACTTTTTGTACATACTATAAGACAAATTATGTGATGTTGTTTCACATTTTATTTTTAAGTATCGTTACATGTTTATAGGCCTTTAGGACAATATCTACATGTGTATCATGTTGCATATTTAATGTCACAGCTCATGTATATTTGATTAGCAGGCATGTATTAATCAGTAGACCGTGTGACTAAGAGGTAACGTTGCATATAATTTATGAGAAGATATTATGCATCTGTAGCATCTCTGTTCCAAGCAGATGTCTGAGCTACATGTAACTATCAGAGTGCAATTATGAATTATTCCAAAATCATCTCTGTCCAAAAGTGTAACATTCCAAAATAACTTCTGCCCAAAAGTGAAAAATGTCGGGGAGAATCCTTCAGTTGAATGGAATGTTGTGGACTAATCCAAAAATAATTTTACACAAAAAATTATCTCCCCAAAGTCCTAAAATTGAATGTACAATAAAATGCTCCCGTTATTCAAGAATGGATACTTCCAGCGATAGCCATTGTTTTGTCATGGACCAAAATTATTCTATAGTCAATAATTTTTTATCAGTTCACCTCTGCAGAAAAAAATACATTTTCATTCATTTAACACCCATTGAATTGGCATTGAATTTAGAACATCGCCTCCATTGAAGAATGGACTCTTCCACTTTTTTTCAGTTTTAATATGTCCGTCAAGCTAAGAAATTATAGCCAATGGGAACTCACCAGGCCTTATTTTTGCTTTCTTGACTGGACCGCTCTTTTACTATGATCAACCCATAAAAGTGAAATAGAATTATGTGTGACAAAAATAAATTGATATATTAACTGTTTTGTTGTAGGCAAACTGACTGTTCCAGTGGCTGACTGTAAGAGGGTGGAATTCCAGGCACAGCCCAAATGTGACATGATACTGGCAGAGTTCTTAGACTATTGGCAGGACTTGTACACAAGTGAACACACACCCGGCAAGCCTTGTTTATACCTGAAAGACTGGCATTTCTGCAGGTACACCTGCCTACATTGATTCTTATGTTATCATGTGTTGCATAGTTACATGTATGTCATTTCCTAGGTCTCAATCATGTAGACCTTGGACATTACTTACTAGATTATACATGGCTATTTCGAGTTTGGGGACCAGAGTGTTGCACTTTTGGCAGTTTTGCCAATTTTTTCCATGAAGGTGAGGAATTGTTGAATATTTATTATAATATATTTTAAAGTTATGCGATTCAGGAAATTGGAATAATTCTTGCAAAATGCTAGAATAGCCCTCTTCATTAAGACGGTCATTAGACATCAGCTGATATAATTTATACAAATTACATGAACTTCCATTCTTTTGCCATTTGACAGTCAAGTGAAGGTGAACATCATTAAACATAACTTAATAATATGTAAATGAGGCCATCATTTGATGATAAGGTCTCAGACCGGAGTTTTTTTCACGATTTTGGAGCCGGCGGACACCCTCAGACCGAAGGGCTACAACTCCGCCAAAAAAATTACGCCGGGAAATCTCATTACATCAGTCAATGGAGGTTTCCAGCCGGCTTCAGATACAATTTTGGTTATTGTCCGTCGACTCTATGATTTGGGTAGAAACTGTAGTTGAACGTAAATTTTGGATAGGAAAAATATGGGTTTTTTGCAGCTTTTTCAACTGACCTGCTAGGAAAAAACGAATTTTCCCAGGCTAACGGCTTATATACTGAAATAGCTTGCTACTTCCTGTTTCTGAAAAACGGGAAAAAAATATAGGTTGTTACGATACGTTTTTCGCAAAATCTGGTGACGCGAATGCCTTGAAATTCCACATAGAACACAGCTATTTGGGTCATTACCCTTGCTCGCGGACTAATACAGAAAACGCTTCGCTGGCCGTCCAACTTCACCACGCCGAAAAACACTACAATCACAAGGTTTTGGATCAAGTCAAAACCTATTTGAAAATCTACAGCGATCGCCGAGCTATGGGGAGCCAAACCTAGCGTGACAACCTCGCAGATCCGGCGATTTACTGCGCACTATTTGGAACCCTGGTCAGATTTAAACTCCGACCCGGAACCATAAGAAAATGCTATAATCATCTTCTTTGCTGTGATGACTGCTGTTAGTCATGCAATTGAGGGCAGAGGATTTTAATTTCATCATCAATTAGAAACAATAATCTGGTAGTCTTAACTTGCAAAGGTATGAGATTATGGAACTCTAGTAATCATCAAGCAGATCTTCAAGTGAAATGGTGGCCAGGGTGGCAAAATGGTAACAGTCCGGCCAGGGTTGGTGGAAAAAGGAGTCCAGTTCGATTAACGGAAAAAGCAGTCCAGTCTTTTGGGGTTGGAAAAAGCAGTCCGGTGGTTTCTGTGTACCAGCGCCCCCTTACAAAATACGAGTCTGGTGTGTTGCCGCATGTCGTGGTGTGAAGCGCACTCATTGGCATTTGCATAGCTGTGTCCAATGAGTGCGCTTCACACTACGACATGCGGCAACACACCAGACTGCTTGCACTTTCATCGTATTTTGCAAGGGGGCGATGCTACACACAGAAACCACCGGACTGCTTTTTCCACCCCCAAATCGGACTGGACTGCTTTTTCCGCCGATTGGACTGGACTATGGTGGACATTGGTGGTTGGCTTGTCTGGATGGCTGGCCGGCCAGGTTTCATTGTACTCGTTGTAGCAAGGAGCTTATAGGGATACATTTGTACTAATGATTGTACTAATTGTTAAGGGCTGCCTGCCTGGGGTGATGGATGCTTATGTGATTTGCAGGGCTTGCCCAGACTATGGTGCATATGAGACTCCAGTGTTCTTCCAGTCAGACTGGCTAAATGAGTTCTGGGATCTGAGATACCGTGGTGCAGATGACTATCGTTTTGTGTACATGGGACCAAAGGGCTCATGGTAAGTTTCATTCGACATACATTTTAACACTAGGTTTGAGCTGAGATGAGTCTGTGTGTTGTGATCCTCTGTAGGTAGTTCTGTCAAGTAACATCAACCAAATGGGACTGAGACCGCATTCTTAAAGTGCTCATGACACCAAAATAAGTCTGTGCGAAGTACATATAAATATCAGAAGTGTACATACAAAATAGTTTGTTCCAATCATGATGACTGAGAAACTGAGCTTGTACGGCCTTCTAAAAGTCACAGGGTTTTTGGAGACTCTCTAGCAAGCTTCCCAATTGCCCACTTTGGGCATCCCTATTTGCATATCTATGTTTTATTTTTGCATTTCTGTGCTTTTTCCTGAGCTGACATCACTGGATGACATCAGCTCAGGAAAAAATACAGATATGCAAAAATAAAATGTAGAGATGCAAATCACCCGCCAGTACTAGCTTGTGCTGACTTTTCCAAGGCAGGGAGTTAGAATTTCGAATGTAACAAGACAACCGTGCATATTTATTGTAAATGTGTTGTGTTGTGTTAGCCAGGTAATACTAGTTCTTCTTCTTCTCTTGGCTTGGCTTCGTTGTCCGAAGATTTAAGGGTCCTTCCCTCTCCTACTGCATGCCCGCTGGTGGCTGACAAGTCCGATGCGTGACCGGCATACTCGGCCACAGTGGCTGCAGGTAAGTGACGAGTCTGGTGTTGGAGCCGTGACGGTGCGGTTCTTCCTCTTACTGCGTTTCTCTTCGAGGGCAGTTCTGCGTCTCCTCTCGAAGGCAGAGACTGAGTCATGAACTGTATGTCGCCAGGCAGCTCGGTCAGTGGCAAGAGCTGACCACTGACTATGGTCGATGTTGCATGAAGACAGAGATTTCTTTAGACAGTCCTTAAATCTCTTCTTTGGTGCTCCTCTGTTTCGGTGCCCGGTAGACAGTTCGCCGTAGAGG